ATATCTTGGGCTTTCTAACGATTATCAAAAGATCTTTGCCCAGATTTGTAGATCTTTGCTTACAATTCTCACTTTAACAGATGAAAATAAATGAGTGAGATGGGGGAATTTTCGTTTTTCATTTAGTTGCATAATAATTCTGCACACTAATAGTTGCCCAATTATTGTGCACACATAGATATGGTCCTAAGAAAGCCAAAACCTCACTTTTACTTTCTTAAATATTCAGGTTTGAGGTTTATTAACATTTTGGATTGACCGAGAGCACTGTGCATAATAATTCTGCACACTAATAGTTGCCCAATTATTGTGCACACATAGATATGGTCCTAAGAAAGCCAAAACCTCACTTTTACTTTCTTAAATATTCAGGTTTGAGGTTTATTAACATTTTGGATTGACCGAGAGCACTGCAGTTGTTCAATAATGAAATTCATCCTCAAAAATACAACATGCCTAATAATTGTGCACGTAGTGTACAAAGTGAGATACTAATATAATAAATAATAATTATTGTCAGGTTTCCGAGATGCATAACTGAACTAGCAGGCTTGTAGCTGGATATTCAAGGACACAGCTCTAATAAAATATTTTTTATTGCAGATACAGGTAGTCCCTGGGTCAAGAATGCCCCGTTTACAGACGACCCATAGTTAAGAACAGAGCCTATTGTAGCAACATTCGAGTTAAATACACAATGACTCGAGTTCATTACACAATACAACTTATACAGTATTATACAATAATACTGTTCTGGCTTACATACAAATTCAACTTAAGGACAGACCTTGGTAATGGAACTTGTTCTTAAACTGGGGAACTTGTTCTTAATCATGAGAAAACAAATACTGCAAACTCTAGGATTCAGGTCACATAGAGGGCAGTCTTAAGGTTCAAATCCTGCACCTCTTTCTTCCACCATTATGTCAGAATGGACTGAAAGATGCTTACTTCTGAGACTGAGAAGTAATTGGCACCTATATATTGTTATGCTATGGAACAGTCTGGTCTCAGGTCCTTTACCTCTGACCTTTTCAACTCTTGCCCTCACAATTATACAACAATGATAATGATAACAATAAATAACGATAATATACCCAGAAAGGGGATAACTTCTCCCTTTTGCATTTCAAGATATCAGTGCTATGATTGCTAGACAGTATAATCCTTGCATTTCAGACTGTTACAACTTAGATAGGTACTGGGGGAGGGGGGCTTTGTCATCTTGTAGATAGGTGCTCAGGAGTCCACATAACACATGAGTCTCCCAACATCAAGATCTGCCAGCCATTTCTACCTGTAGGAACTGTTTGATCCGGCGCAGATTATGCTGGTAGAGAACATTGGATTCTTGTAGGAAGCGACTGTACTGCTGGTCAATTTCACCCAGAAGATTGTGAAATACCAAAGTGGCATGGGACTCTTTGCTGGCAGCATAAGCCCTATAGAGGATGGGAAAGAAAAGAAAATCCAATTCACCACTGCAGTCTATAAGACCTCTTAGTCTAATTCTGTGAAAGTTCCTATCCATTAGAAGTAGGACCTATAATTAACGCCCAAAAGTTTCTATGTTTCCAAAAGACAAAAGGTTAATGTGAATTTCCAGTGAATTCTGTAAGCACAATTCAGGAAATTTAAGAACATAACACCCACAAAGGAATCTCAATATTCCAATCATCAGCTATGCTAATTAAAAGAAAACAACCGGATGGCAGTCTGTGGAAGGCTGTACTGGGCAAAGCAGCTGGTTATCCCTCATTTTGGGAGGTTGGGGGGCAGAAGCCTAGAGATACTGCTTCTACATGATGGGCTGGCCAACTGAAATGGCCTCCTGTGAAAGGTTTGATTTATGCCAATCTTATCTGTCTTCCAGAAACAGCTGAAGACAGAGCTTTTCCAGAGGGTGTTTGGGTGTTGCTACCAGGGACTATGTTGGATTGTATACAGTATGTTTAATTGTGGATGGTTGTTGTTGGCTTTTTGTTAGCTGCTGAGATTCCATCTGTGATTGTGGTAGGATATGCATTTGATTAACAAATAAATAAACAATGAGGGTCTGGTACCTCTGGAATATATCAGATTGGATAAGGTTGATCTACAGTACCATCATGTACCCCCAATTATATTCCTGACAGCCCTAACAATTTCAGCACAAAATGAAAAATAATTTTTCATGTTGAAAGGAAAAGAATCCCACAAATTAATGTTACATATCCCCCGAAACATTTGTGTCTAACAGCAGGGAGTTACATGGTCCACCACTGCAAAACTTCTAAACTACTGATCAGGTAGCATCCTGCACTTCTTGGCCTAATTTCAAAAACCCTTTGCAAACAATAAGTTCAGACTTTTGGCAAGAATGATGTGTTTCTTCTCCAGAAATAGAAGGGAAAGATGGGAAAATAAGAAAGACAGTACGTGTATAGTTGGGGTGGAGATGGAGGGTGAGATTGATAAAGGAAATCAGCTTGTGGCTTCCTGCCAGATTACCTTCAATTATAGCACCACCTTTTGAAGAAAGGTATAAAGGGGAAGGAGATCAGTTTGCTTTGCTTGTAGACTAAGCAAACTGTCTGCATTGTCTCTGTCTATCTGCATTGATATGGGCCGATAAGAGTTTCAGTCTCAAAAAATCTGGACTCAATAGATTACATACCCCAATACACATATGGACAAGACATTGTTTCCCCAAAGATGCTTCCTCACCAAGTATCCTAACTTTTTTGAAGCAACAATATGTGTCAATTGAATGTCCCTAATCTACTCATTGTGGATCTGAAGAGCTCTAGAAGCAGTGAAGGTTTTTGCTCAAATTTAGCCAGGATGCTGAAAAACAGAATGCCTTACCAATCCTGGCTCTCTATCCAAGGTGCAAGGAACTGCCGAAGTTCCATTGGAAAGCTGTCACTGTAAAGCTGGTGGAGCTGTTCCAAGTATCGTGTGTCCAGCTGCTGCAGTTGGTTCCATTGTGCCATCTTGGCAGCTGACTCTGGAAAAAGGAAATCATACAGGACATTTTAACATGAGCTATCTATTGGTTAGTCAGGCTGTTACTACCCAAGCATATTTAATTAAATAATCAATTAACAACAACCATTTCAGATTCACAATCACAAGTGAAACCTAACAATGTAAATGTGTAATAAAAAGGAAAAGAAAAGTCAGACATTCATATTATAAATTCATAGTGGCAACTTCTGTGTAGTCCAATTCATTTCAACTGACTTATATCCAATTATTTTGCTTATAGTACTTAGTCATAATTATTGCTGATGCACGTTGGATAATTAAGAAAGCCAAAGAATAACAAAAAGGAGTCGCTATGTGCTTCGTTGATCATAGAAAGGCCTTTGATTGTGTCAATAATGTCAACGTGTGGAATATGCTCAGAAAAATGGGAATCCCAGAATATCTCATTGTCCTCATGAGAAACTTATATACAGGTCAGGAGGCCGCAGTA